GTATCCCCTTCTTTCAGCCAAGGTCCATCTTACATCAGCTACAATATCCCTAGTACCACGACCCCTTCTAAACCCAGCCTGGACTTCTGGCAATTCTCTGCTGATGTGCTGTTCCAGTCGTTTTTGGATAATCTTCAGTAGAATCTTGCTTGCATGTGAAATCAATGATACTGTTCTGAAGTTTCCACACTCTGTTTGGGTCACCCTTCTTTGGAATGGGAACAAATATAGATCTCTTCCAGTCAGTTGGCCAAGTGGTTGTTCTCCAGATTTCTTGGCACAACTTGGTGAGCACATCCAGGGCAGCATCTGTTAGCTGAAATATGTCAATTGCTATACCATCTATTCCTGGGGCCTTATTTTTTGCTATTTCTTCCAAAGCAGCTTCAACTTTTTCCTTCATCACCATAGGCTCTTGCTCATCATATGTTATTTCTTTAAATTCCTCTGTATCTCCCAATTCCTTTCTATACAATGACTCAGTATATTCCTTCCACCTTCTTTTAATACTTCCTGGATCATTTCATATTCTGCCTAAAGCATCCTCGATTATAGCAACTCTAGGTTTGAATTTGTTCTTCAGTTCCTTGAGCTTAAGAAATGTTGAACAAGTTCGGTCCCTTTTGATTTTCCGACTCTAGCTCCTTGCACATTTCATTGTAATATTTTGCTTAGTCATTCTGAGCTGCCTTTTGGAATCTTCTGTTCAGCTCTTTAGTATCTTGAATTCTTCCTTGTGCTTTGCTTTCTCTATGATCCAGTGCAATCTTCAGAGTTTCTTCTGACATCCATTTTGGTCTTTTCTTCCTCTTCTGTCTTTGTAATGACTGCCTGCACTCTTCCTGGATGATACATTTGACATCCTCCCACAACTCATCTGGTCTTCGCTCATTAGTGTTCAAGGCCTCAAAACTGTTCCTGAGATGATTCTGAAATTCAGGTGGGATGAAATCAAAGTCATATTTTGGTTCTGTGGATTTGGTTTAATTTTCCTCACTTTCGGCTTGAACTTACATACGAGTAGCTGGTGGTCTGTTCCACAATCAGCTCCTGGCCTAGTTTTCATAGCTGATACTGAGCTTCTCCAGCAGTTTTTTCCACAGATGTAAGCGATCTGATTTCTTTGCATACTATCAGGTGAACTCCATGTGTATGACCTGTGTTTATGTTTCTTATAAAATGTATTTGCAATGAATAAGTCATTCATTTATTGTACAAAATTCAATCATTCTATCTCCAGCTTCATTTCTGTCACCAAGCCCATATTTTCCGACTACTGATTATTTTTTCTTCATTCTTTTTTTAAAAAAATTTTCTTTTATACTGGTTTACTTAAAATGTTCTTAGACAATGCTTTACATACCAGATATTTCCTGTTTCCTTTTCACATCCCTCCCTGCACCCATCAAATTGTGCAACGCTATGATTAACCACCTCACCCCTCTGCTCCCACCCCCCTTTTGGATCCTCATACACATTTTACAGTAATGGTTTTATACAGTATTTATCCTTATGGGTCTGAGTTAGTTGACCTAGCATAATGCTCTCCAGTCCCTCCCAAGTTGGGTAGTGAGTTATAAAATCATTGCTCCTGCGAGCTGCATAGTATTCTGTCTTGTGAATGTACCTAATTTCTAAATCCATTTGATTGTGGTTGGATGTTTGGGCTATTTCCATGTTCTTGCAATGGTGAATAATGCTCCTATGAATATTGGCGTACAGGTCTCTGTTTGTTCTTCAATTCTCATTCTCTCAGGGTACATTCCAAGCAGTGGAATGGCTGGGTCATGTGGAATTTCTATGTTCAGCTTTTTGAGGAAACTCAAATTGCATTCCAGAGTGGCCGTACCATTTTACAATCCCACCATCAATGTGTAAATGTTCATATCTCGCCACATCCTTTCCAACATTTATTATTTGCTTTCCTAGTAAACTCTGCCACTGCTACTGGGGTGAGATAACATCTCAGAGTGGTTTTTATTTGCATCTCTCTTATTGCCAGTGATTTTGAACATTTCTTCATCTGTCTATTGGCCATGTGAATTTCTTCCTCTGTGAAAAGTCTTTCCATGTCTTTTGCCCATTTTGTAATTGTGTTATCAGTCTTTTCCTTGTGGAAGCACTATAGGATTCTGTAAACTGTTGATATGAGACCCTTGTCTGGAATGGTATTCCCAAGTGTTTTTTTCCCAGTCAGTAGGTTTTCTTTTCACTCTGTTGCAAAAAGTTTTTGATTTGTTACAGAGATTTAGTCTTTAGAAGTTCCCCTTTATCAATTTTATCCTTTCCATATTTTGCATTTCTGTCTGTATTTGGCAAACTCTACTCCATAGACTAGGCTATCTAAGCTTGATCCTAGTTTGTCTCTGATGAACTTTATGATTTTGGGCTTTACTCCCAGGTCTCTGATCCACCTTGAGGTGATTTTTGTCTATGGTGTGAAATGTGGATCCTGTTTCAGCTTTCTGCATAAAGTAGTCCAGTTTTGCCAGCACCATTTGTTGAAGAGGTTGTCCTTTCCTCATCTGATAGGTTTTATTTCCTTGTTGAATATCAGTTGACCATAGATAGCTGGGTTCTCAATTCTGTCCCATTGATCTACATGCCTGTCATTGTACTAGTACCATCCTATTTTGGTTACTACCTCTGCGTGGTAGGGTTTTGTTTTGTTTTGTTTGTGTTTTTTTTGTTTGTTTTGGGGTTTTTTTTGCGTAACAAGTTTTGAGATCAGGGAATGCTATTCCTCCCACTTCATTTTTGTTTTTCAGAAGTGCTTTGCTTATTTGGGGTCTCTTTCCTCTCCAAATAAATGTTACAAATAATTTCCTTTTTGATCTTGAAAAATGAATTTGATATCTGTGTTGAACATGTAGATTGCTTTTGGTAGGATTGTAATTTTCACAGTATTGAGTTTTACTATCCATAAATAGGACACATTTTTCCAGTTTCCTTAGGTATTTTACTGTGTCTTACAGAAATGTTCAGTGGTTTTCTTTGTATAGTTCTTTTGTATCTCTAGTTGAATTTACTCCCAAGTATCTGCTTGTGGTTTGCTATTATTACAATGGTATTGCTTTCTTGATTTCCTTCTCTGAGTTTTCTTTGTTACTGTAGAGGAATCCCACTGATGTTTGGACATTGATTTTCTATCCTGGCAGTCACTTTATACCATAGACTAGGCAGTCTTAGCTTGATTCCAGTTTGTCTCTTTTGACCTTTATGGTTTTGGGCTTTACTCCCAGGTCTCTGACACACCTTGAGGTGATTTTTGTGTATGGTGTGAGATGTGGATCCTATTTCAGCTTTCTACATATAGCAGTCCAGTTTTTCCAGCACCATTTGTTGAAGAGGTTGTCATTTCCCCATTTGATGGGTTTTATTTTCCTTGTCGAATATCAGTTGACCATAGAAAGCTGGGTCCATTTCTGGGTTCTCAGTTGTGTTCCATTGGTCTATGTGCCTGTCATTGTACCAGTACCTCCATTCCTATTTTTAACACAGGCTCTTTTAGTATTTGAAGTTTTTTTCTGACTTGTACCTGCCATGTGTCTTTGCCCTTAAGAAAAATATTGTTAGGAAGGGACAATACTTGCCTAGGCGTAACCATAATAATTTCCATAAGTCAAAGCTCAGGCTACCACATAGCCAGGTGGCAAGAAGCAGAAAATCTAAAAACAATCTTTTATGGTTTTTTACATTTGAAATTGTATACATATCCCAGTCATCATCTTTTACCCACCAGGTAGCCCTATGTACAGTCGTGCTCAGAATATAATAAATGAAATAATAGCTCTGTTAGAGCCACTGTTGATAGGAATTTTCCTCTTTCAAGAATTGTTTGTCTATCTGTCTTTGTCCTGTTTACTAATCAAAGAACCATTTAAATAGAATTGAATGAAAAGATCACAACCTTGGAAACCTTAGGAGGCAGTTCTACTCTGGCCTGTAAAGTCAGAATGAACTTGAAGAAAATGTATTGGGTTTTGTTTGGTGTCTCCCAGACAAAATCCCCGAGCCAGGGTTCTAGACCTGGAGCAGGGAGAAGGTCAAGTGGAAATGGCTCTCTACGTGGCATCCCTGTTCTAGGAGTTGAGAGCTTGGTCAAAGGAGAGGATAATAGCCTGTGGTCCTCTCAGATTGCCTCTCTTCACTTGGAATAACAGCTCATAAATCAGGGGATGAGCTGCCCCTTCCATATGCTATGAGTAGAGGTTGGGTGGAAGCAGGGAGCCCTCATCTTTCAACTTCATTTTACTGCTACTTACCTCAACACTAGGTAGCTGCGGATTGACAGGCTGCAACTTCTGAAAAGAAAGCTCTTTTACTGGGGGCTGTGGGGAGAGGGACCTGTGTGTTATTGGCTATAGCAGTCTGAAGCAGAGCTCCCACACTATTTTATGTACTATCAAGGGTTAGAGAGAGAACAGTCTGAGTACAAATGACACAATCTCTTGCCTTTTTTTTTAACTCTTCATAGATTTTATTGAATAAATGTTTCTCCTTTGCTGTTTGCCCTTAGGACTATTTCTAGAGGTTTTAAATGGTTAGTATTAAAAATCAGGGGTTTTTTCCACCAGTTCCTCAGGGAAGCAGATTAGCAGAGCACCTTATGCTATCTCACCAGACATCCGACTCTTGATCTCTCAAAATTCCTTCCTCTCAGTGTGAAAAGACTCCATTAGCATAGAATCAAATGCAAAAGGTACAAGATTTTATACTAGAGAGCTTGAGCAATGCAAGTAGATGCAGTGTACAATGTAGATGAAAGATCTGGATTGGCAAAGGTGAGTCATTGCCAGGTGATTTTCGTGTGGGGCTCTTTGAAGGCTGTAAACTGTTTTTCTAGACAATGCAGGGTTTTGGTTCCCCTTGCCCTCAGTCTCAAATAGTTGTTTACTAATCCCAGCCTTTTACAAATAAATACATTTTTCTTTTGTAGCTAAGAGTTAATTTTTATATGTTAAGTGACTTTCATTTCTTACTTTACTTTTGTCCTTCAGAATACTTCAAACACAAATATTTAACATGATTCAACAATGGCTTTCGAAGATAAGCAATATAATAGGCAATGGTAACGTTGAACTTCAGCGCCATGTATGTATTCATATGGGTTGTGAGGTTATACACAGTTTTGGTTGAGGGTTTTCAAGGACAAAAGTTGAACATCCAGTTGGGATGGTAAAATGAGAGTCTGAAAAATAGTCAAAAGAGTTTTCAGGTACTATATTTCTACCTTTCAATGTAGTTTTAGAGATGATTAAATGTTTTTGAGTCATAATTATTATATTTATTCAGTATACTGACTTCTTTTCAATAGCATTAACATAGGCTGTGACCTTTTAAAGAATGTATGTGAGTACCCCTGACTGACTAATGAAGTGGCAGAAACATGCTCCTTGAAAAAAACAAACAATGCCACAATACTATTTGCATGTTATTGCTAGAGCAAACAAATTTGTTCTTTCTTTCTAAGAGCTTAACTTGTGGATTTTTTTTTTCAAAAAAAAGGAGAACTAAACTCCACTGAAATAAGCTTATTGAGTTTCTAGATACATATATATTAAATCTGTCTTTTATAAACTATTAATATCTTTTTTAACATAAACACAATATTAGTTTAACTTTTCCCACCTCAAACTCAAAACAAAAAGACTACTAGAATAAAAAAAAATAATTTATAGTGAGGATGGGAAGAAATGTACCAAATCCTTTGTAAGTTAAAAAGCAGGAAATGGATTGCTTTTTCCTTCCTTTTTTTACTGGGGTGGGGGAAGCTAGGCAAAATGTCTTACACTGCTTTTACCTTCTGCAACTCCACAATCTGCTGCTTCTGCCCTTCACCCAAACTCTTGAGTTTTTTCAAGCTGAGATAACCTCTCATTGACCCTTGATTTTCTGATTCTAGATCTTTTAATAGTGACTTCCTGAGACTTCTGAGTTGCTTGAAGCATTCCAATATGACCTACTCCTAAATTTGAGGACAAGATCTGAAGCTTGCTGTTATGAACCTTCTTTGGCTAGCTCATTTTCCACTTCTTTGTGTTTGCTTAATAAGGCCATTTCTCCCCCCTTGGTATCATCAGGCTGTTTTTGAAGAACCTGAACATTGTTTTCTGCTGTAGCACGTGACATCTGTAGTTTTTGGCATTTGTCATGAAGACTTCCAGCTTCATCTTGTACCTTCTGTAATTCTGTCTTTTATTCTGAGTTTTATTCAACTTGCCTTCATACTCCTCAGTTAGTTTTTTTCTGTTCAAGTCTTAGTTCTTCAATTGTTTTGTTTAGAGCTTCCATCTCCATTCTGTGTAGTTCTCAGTCTTCTGCCCTTTATTTATAGAAGCACAATGATCCTGTTGGGACTTCAACAACTCGTGGATCTCTCATGCATGAGCAGTTCACAGATCTTCCAACGTGGATTTTTATCTTTTTCAAACTGTGCTTAGAGTTGTCCAAAGCTCCTTAATTTTCCTTCAGATTCCCTTCTAATCTCTTCATCTTCTCTTGACATGGTTACTATGCGCTGGACATGCTGGGCTTCTGCACAAAGCTGCATGTCCTCCACTCTGTGCTTATAAGCTTCAAATTCTGTCAAAGCCTGTTGTTTCATCTTTACGTGATCTTCTAGTGAAGCTTCTAAACGGTGACTTTTTCTCCTAAGGTCTAGCTCTTCTATTATTTTGCTTTTATAGTGCAGTATTTTTTCCCCTCTTGTTTCTGCAAGAATTTGTTGGATTTCTTCTTCATGATCATCTTTGAGGGTTTGTGTTGCAGACACATGTTCATCATTTTTAGTGTTCAAAGCATGTATTACCTGGGTGAGCTGAATGATTTTCTTAATCATTTTCAGGTGCAAGTCTTGGGTGTAGTCCATGCAGTGCCCATCCCCTCCTCCACCTCCACCCCCCC